TTTGGATCCACCATCGCTCCGCTTCTCGCTTGCTTGCTTGCTGCTCAAAATTGAATCGGGCTTCCAATTGTAGAAAAGCTGTTAATGCTTATCTTGGACATGATGATGGCTATTTCGATTTTTACATGAGCAAAGTGCCTAGAGTAATGGGAACTATACATGATGTTCATGCCCATTTTGATTCACACTTGAGCAAAGTGCCTTAGGTCAATGATGTTAGATTTTAGGCGCAGGAGGAGCACCCTTAGGTGTGGCAGCCGCACCTTACTTACGATTGTTGTTCGCAATTTTGCTAGCTAATAATTAGTACACCCCTCAAAGTGCATCCTCCTGTCTAATTAGCACTATTTCCTAATGGTATCTCGTGGACTGATTAGTAGCTTTGATGAGAACTTGGGTTATTAATCGAGACCTAAGGCACTTTGCAATGATGTTTCTATACATTCTTAAATGTATTATTTCCCATCTGTGAACTGTTGGTACTCGTTTCGCCGCCATTTGCAATAGCTCATTAGCTCATTAATCCTAGCTGTTCTTTCATTGTATGCTTTGACCTTGCACTTGTTTGTTTAATTAGTGGGACTTGATTCATCCAGTTTCATTTTTTGGGAATAAATATCTGCTGAGTAGAAATAATCCTTGCATTTATATTATTCTTCTTACATTGTCATTTGTATGCTTGCAGCCTTGCACTTGTTTGTTTATATTATTGTGGCCGGTGGCTACTAATCTTCTCTGTACTTGCTGTCTTCTCTGTACTCCTCTTCTACTACTACTGTCCTCTACTCCACTCTACTCCTCTCCTCTCCTAAGTAGTTGTTGCTTTTTTTGCTACTTCTACTACTTTCCTACTACTACTGTCTACTACTTCTGATTGTCCGATCTGCTTATCAGGTTTGGAAGATATTAAGCATATGATGTTCTTACATTGTCACGTTGCTTTTTCTGGGAAGCAGCACCTGCTTTTTTTTGCCAAATCTCCCCTCTTCTCTATTTGTTGCCACCTTTTCTATCCTCTATGTTTTGGAAGCAGCACCTGCTTTTTTTTTTGCCAAAACTCCCCTCCCCTCTCCTCTCCTTTGTTTTGCCGATGATAAAATCATTCAAGTCCATACATTATATGGAATATGAGCTGATGATCAAGAACTTGTGAGGAACTTGGCATCATTAGCAGTCGCCCCTATATTACCTTCTTCTCTCTTCTCTGTTATGATGCCTTGATGCTCCAAGTTCAAGATTAGATGATGTTTGACATGTTTCTGAGGCCTCTACCACTTCTACTTCTCATTTTTTTATATTGTTGTTTTATAGGACTACTTTGGTTTATAGACCTTTTTTATTTCTTATACCTTCTCGCATACCTAAAGCACACTTTCTTGCATCTATTAGAACAAAGCGCGAAATAATGTCGCGGACACCAGACAGTGCAGCCCGATGCCCCGAGCATGATGAGCAGCCAACCCTTGAGGAGCAAGCACTAGAGGACCAGCTTACTCAGGAACAGTTCAATAAGGAGGTACAAAATGATCTAGAAGTGATGCTTACTAAGGAGCAGTGTGACAAGGAGGAAGGCCCCGAAGGAGAGGCTGCTGAAGGCGAAGAAGAAGAGGATGATGCAGATGATGACTCAGAAGAGGGATATGTAAGTCCCGAGGATCCTTTCCCACGTGAAGCCAGAAGGAGGCCAACGGAGAAAGATTTGGACAAGGACTTTGACCCGAACAAGGAGGTAGGGAAAAAGCCTTAGCTTGTAAATTTTGCTAAAGCTTTGGCTGTGTTACCTCTGCTAACACTTTGACCTGTCGTATATACAGGTCCCTCCTGAAACTCGGAAAAGACGACATCGACGTCCGCGATATCTCGCTGGACAAGACGGAGTAGAGGAAAGGAGAGCAGAGGCAACAGCCACATAGACGGATCACGATGCCTCTGCTCCACAACCTGAAGACACAACCACGACTACCAAGCCTAAGAGGAAACGAGGGGATAGAAAAGGAAATCTATATCCAGATAAGGCATGCTATGTGATAACGGAGGTTGGGCCAGCAGGGGAGGTCCTTGAGCCGAAGGAATTAAGAGGACGATTCCGTAATGCGATCGGGGCCCTAATAAGAGATAAATTGAACCCAACAATCCCTAACTGGAAAGAGGTACCAGAGAACAAAAAGAATGAACTATGGGATATGCACCTGAGGGTCAATTTTAGATTTCCAGATGGTAAGCACGAACTGGTAAAAAATGCTTTCAGGATGATGTGAGAGGTATTTCGACGTTGGAGGTCGGAGCTCAACACGAAGTATATCCAAAAGGGGTTAACTCCCTTCAAAGAGTTTGGCAAAATAACTCCTAGTCAATGGGAGGAGCTCGTGGCTCAGAAGACTTCACCGAAGGCATTGGAGCTCAATGCCCGTAACACCGAGCTGGAGAAGAGGAACAAACACCACCATCATCTAGGTCCTGGTGGCTACTATGCCAAGGAAGAGCAGTTTAGGAAGATGGACGAAGAGGCCGCAGCTGCTGGGAATACCGATGAGACGAATCTGAAGGTACGCTCAAGGAACTGGATATATGCGAGGAGTACAGAATCATCCGGCAGTAATCTTAAGTTTAATAAGCCGGAGACCCAAGAGGCGGTATCAAGGATACTGAAATATGCTGAAGACAAGGAGAAGGGCTCCTTCAATCCTTCCAGAGAGAGGAACGAGCTTAGCCTTGGCTTGGGAAACAAGGAGCACACAGGCCGCACCAGGGGGCTAGGGAAAAGGACGACCTAGAAGCAAGGATTCAAAGAGGACAGACACATGTACAAGAAACATGGCCAAGACTAGGAGACTAGTCTTGAGCTCCAAGTGAAGGCTCTAGTTGCGAAGGCGCTGGAGGAGCAAGGACTATCTACGGAGCCACGGATATTAGTGATGCCACCGGGAGAACTAGCATTAGTTGGCAGCCCTCCGAAAGTTCCTAGCAGCCAAGGTTCCACTGCAGCCACAGCCCCCGTCGATCGCATACGGGAACCAACTAGTTGCACCTTGGTGTTTCTTAGCGGCCGATAGAACAATGTGATGGAGGTGGCAACAGGTGTGTCACATCCTCCCGGTGGCTTACACCACAATAATAAGGTACCACCGGACTACACTAGGGTCGAGGTGCATACCGTGAAGCCCGAGTTCATGCAGTGGAGCATAGATCTCGTACAAGCATGCTTCCCCACCGACACATTTGGAAGCCCAGCCGGAAAAATTGTCTTTGACTTCAATGACATGCACACATGCTTTCACCTGGGAGAAATGGAGATGAATCTAATTCGCACGTGGTGCTTGTAAGTCCTTGTCCTCCCGATATGATATAAATGTAAGCTTTGAATTTTGTTGTAACTAACCAACGCCGTGATTTGTAGAATGCAAGTGCACATTGTCAAACAAATGCCAAGTCTGAAAGCCGAGTATGTAGACCCTCAAGCTATAGCCCAACCAAATTTTAATTACCCTAAACAGTGGACACTGGATGTCAAAGAGCTAGCTGCTGCAAAGACTCTTCGGGAGAAAGAGCGCATCCGTACGGTGAAACTAAAGGAAGAGTCCCTTAAGGTTGTGGCATACATTGCTCTAGCTTTCAAAAATCTACAACAACACTCTAATATATGGCTACCGTACAACTTCGAGTAAGTTCAAATATATACTTAAAGCTTTGTTCGATATATTTTATTCGATGCAAAAGAGCTTATCTAGTTCTATGATTAAATCCATGCAGCAACCACTGGATTTGTATAGCCGTCGATGTCGGGAGGAGCATGGCATGAGTCTTTGATTCAATAGATAAGGACCCGGCGACATACAAAGACTTCATATCGATTCTCAAGACGTATACATATCGACAATCCTAATTAGCTTATATGTTTGTATACATACTTGTAACATTCACTTATGGATACTAACAAGTTGTATTTGCTAAAATAATTCGAACAAGGCATTTAGGTTCTATGTCACTCATCATCACGGAAGGCATGATCTATCAAGGAAGGAAAAGCTGGCTATAAAAACACTATGTGCGGTAAGTGTAACTTACTTCTTCAATACTCCGTTACATGGCTGTCAAAAGCATTACCTAACATTTTCATATGCAAAACACAGTGTCCCAAGCAGAGGCCTGGGAGTGTACATTGTGGATACTATATATGTTCTATGATGAGTAACACCAGTGCCTACAGGAGACACCCCTTAAGGGTAAGTTTGAACCTCTTCATCAGTAGTATAAAAACTTCGTACATGGTATGAAATACTAAACCAAAACTTGTTCTCTTGTAGTGGAGAGAAGATAAAGGAATGAAAAGAGACCCATACAAGGATGACCAACTCTTAGAGCTCATCGGCGACCTTTGCAACTTCATATTAGACCAGATTGTACACGTCAAAGGCGCCTACCATGACCGAGAGTCTGACTTAGGTAGAAATCCTCAGTACCAACACCTTCGTGAGACTGAAAGACTAGCTCTAGAACGTTGATAACAATATGTATGGAATTTGTATATTAAATGATGGATTGTATATATCCTTACGAATTGGACTTGTAATTGTAGTTTATATAATACTATTGTGCTTGTAGTCGCGTTCGGAACGTTGGTCATGGGGCGTTCGGCAACGCGAACGCGGTTCGGAACGTTGGTCGCGGGGCGTTCGGCAACGCGAACGCTGGATGGAATACGCGGAAACAAACAGTTCTGGTCAAATTTGAATTGTAAATTTGAATTTTTTTTGCAGGAAAACGTACTGTAGGAGCGGTTCTAGATTAAATCGTCCCTACAAACAGGTATTATAGAGGCGGCTGACACTATAGCCGTCCCTACAAATTGATTTGTAGGGGCGGCTAGTGATTGAGCCGCCCCTATAAATAGATTTGTAGGGGCGAATAGTATTACGAACCGCCCCTACAAATTGATTTATAGGGGTGGCTGGTTCTCGTGGTCCGCGGTGCAAACGTCCACGGCGCCAAGGCGGCCGTACAGCGCGTTTCCGCGCGGGTCGCCGTCGAAGTGGCCCAGCCGCATCCGCACGGCGAAGAGGTTGGTGAGGGCCTTGTCCACATCCTTCTCCGTCATCTTACCCTGCTGGATCGCGGCCATGCCGTGCTCCTGTGTGTAGGTCCCGCAGTTCAGGTCCAATCCTGAAATTATAAATTAGTGTCTCGTACTGATTAAAGTTCCCCGGCACCGGCAGTTTATTATGTGAACAAACTTACCAGCCTTGAGGGCGACGGCGACGGTGTCCTCCGGCGTGGGCACGTACCGCTGCGCGTCGTGCATGATGGCCACGGCGTCGCAGTCCGAGGACACGTAGCCGTCGAGGCCCCAGCAGGCGCCTCGGAACGTCTTGGTGAGCAGGTCGGAACTGGCGCAAGCGGGGACGCCGTTGATCCCCGTGTAGGCGCACATGACGCAGCTGGCCTTGCCGTCGACGACGCAGCTCTGGAACGGCGGGTTGAACGTGTCGACCAGGTCCTGCAGCGTCACCCGGGCGTCGAAGTCGTAGCGCGCCACGCCGTTCCAGTCCTCGAGGTCGTAGGCCGTGGCGTGCTTGCAGCACGCGAAGGCCTGCAGCGGCTGCGGCGCGGCCGCCGCGCCGGCGGGGGTGCTGCTGCCCTGGATGCCCCTGACGAAGGCGACCGCGTACTTGCTGGCCACGGCCGGGTCCTCGCCGGGGGTCTCCTGCCCACGGCCCCAGCGCGGGTCCCGGAAGATGTTCACGTTGGGTGACCAGATGGTGAGCCCCTCCGCCTGCCCCAGGTTGTACAGCGCCTGGCCTCCCGGCCGATGGCCTGCAGCACGATACCATGCCAGATGGAGATGAAGAGGTGGTTATTGGATTCAGTGACTAAAATTTAAGAGGTGTGTTGGGAGAATGTTGTATGGGATGTTCGGATACTAATAAAAAAATAAATTACATAATCCGTCAGTACTCCACGAGACGATTTTTTTAAGCCTAATTAATCCGTCATTAGCACATGTTTACTATAGCACCACATTATCAAATCATGACCTAATTAGGCTTAAAAGATTCGTCTCGCAAATTAGCCGCAAACTATACAATTAATTTCGTAATTAGTCTATATTTAATACTCCATGCATGTGTCCAAACATTCGATTGAACAGCGACTAAATTTTAGGAGGAGCAACCAAACACCGCCTAAGTCAATTTTTACATTGCCATGGCAGGACGCAGCAAATCTCTGTAGCGATTAGCGAACGAACAGCCAACAAATGCTGCCAACTTGGCGCGTGATCATTCCATGAAGGACTGTAGGACATGCTTCCGTTGCACGCTCAACAAGTTGGTGATTGCCACTTTGGCAATTGTTAAAGTGGGTAACCGATAGGTGTGAGTTGTACTGCTGTCCCCTCATTTATGTACGCGCATTGCGAACGATCGATCGATGATCATGGAGGGGGTAGGGTGCAAAGCAAAGTGACAAAGACAGGCACATGCATGCGGCCCTGAATGAACAACAGTACTGTGTGTCATGATTCAAACGCAGTAACGACATTTCTCTACCTGCTTTAGGTTGACGACAACAGGATGCAAAGTGGTGCCCTGTTCACCTACTATATATTTCAGGTAATCTGAAGTCGAACAGAAGGAACAAAAATAACTGAGGCATTGCTTATTCCTGTTTGCTTCTCTAAAAATAAAAGCTGCTTTACTTCCTTACTCTGTTCTTACATTCCAGTTTCGCAGTAAGCATACTCATTTTTTTTGGGACGACATATATCCGTATCAGTATTTGATTATTCGACTGTGCTATCAGATCTCATCAATCAAGCAGGATGAAGATCATCCAACAAGCCCCAGCGCATGAATGGACTGAGATCAGTTAACCTGTAACAGTTGCATTGGTTGCCACACCAATCAATGGATCGGAGCTGGCCGAAACAAAAGCAGGCATGCTCGATCTATCAGAGCGTGCTGCACTAAGCGCGGAGACGCGTACCTTTGCAATCACCGCATATCGTACTACACCTGCGACCAATCGGAGTCACATTCTAAACGTACTACACCTCTTATCCTCTACCTACCTGGCTACCTTCACTGTTACTCTGCTGTGTTTGCCCTGTGGCCGTGAAGGCGGAAGTTAACAGCCGCCATTTTTGGCAGTATAAGCCGTACGGTCAAGGGTCGATAAATCAGCTTCGGGGGTGTTTAGTTTCTCCAGATTCCAGAATTTGACACTATGCAAAAAGAAGATTTCTCGTCACATCAAACTTGTGGTACATGTATGGAGTACTAAATGTTGACGAAATCAAAAACTAATTGCACAGTTTGGTTGTACTTTGCGGGACGAACGTTTTGAGCCTAATTAGTCAATATTTGGACAATTATTACCAAATAAAAACAAAACGTCACTGTAGCTACAGTGTATCTACCGTCAATCTGCCACCACCAACTCTGCCCAACTAAACGAGGCCTTCCATGCAACTAATAAATAAACTACTAATTGTGCCACCAGGATGAATTTAGTTAAAATTAAATAAAATACACACAAGATACATTTGCACTACAACACATGTCCAATTTAATTTACCACAAGGAAAAACATGCATATGTAGTACAACTCAGCATGCTAGTTCACTAAAAAGTTGTCAGTCACACTAGTAGAGAAACGGCTTTTGATCCACATCGAAATTTGGTTTTAGTCTCGGTATTTTTCGCGCCTGGGACTAGAGAGACCTTTAGTCCCGGTTTATAGCTCCAACCAGAACTAAAGGTCCCTGCCCAATGGCTACTGCGGTAGGCTTTTGCTGCAGGGGACCTTTAGTCCCGGTTGAAGCTACCAACCGGAACTAAAGGTTAACTTTTACTCCGGTTGGTCCCTCCAACCGGGAGTAAAAGTCTACTCCCAGCTGGAGGCTCCGTCCGGGACTAGAAAGGGACTTTTAGTCCCGGTTGGTGTCTCCAATTGGGACTAAAGGTCCCCTCCTATATACCCCTTCTTCCTTCCCGAGCCCAAGCCACTTCGACCTCAGTGTTCTTGCTTCATCACCGACCTCTCTTCTTCCTCATCACCGGTAATCACAAGATTTCGTCGATTCCTCCATCGATTCTTCGGTTCTAAAGGTTACCAACTTTATACTCTCATGTTTCATCGTAGCATATCTCATTTTGTGGACTAGATATATGTGGTTTTTTATGGTGGATTTTTTTATTTGTAAGCCATTTAAGCTCAAAATCACTTTAAAGTTTGCATATTTGGATGAAGGAAGGTTAAAGTAGTTATTCAAAACTAGTATTCAGCTTTCATTTCTAGCATGCATAGCACACTTCATGGTTTAGAGATATAGAGAATTTTAGAGTTTTTTAATTTTATTTGTTTATAAAATGAGAAATTTATATTATATTAAAAATGAGTATAGAGAGTAGATGGTAGCTGCTTCCGGGTCCTCGGCCTCTCATCGGGTTTCAAAGCGACTGAGGCCGGACCTCCCTCTCATTGCATGCGGCAAATGTGAGGAGAAGATTGTGATGGAGTACCGGGTGAGGAAGGAGTGTCCCAACAAGGGCCATATCTTCTACAAGTGTTCGGATCGCAATGTGAGTTATTTTGTCGCATTTGATGATTATGGTTAATTTATACTTATTTTCATGATGATTGTGATTAAAGTTCTAATTTTTGTTTTAATTTCAGTGGGATGGCACTGGATGTTTAGGCTGGTACTGGGAGGAAAAGTATGTTGAACACGCGCAAAACTCTCTTGCACAGGCGGCTACGGCGGCTGATGAGGCAGTGATCCTACAGAAGAAGCCCATAGATGTTGAACAAACACATGATCTGTCTGTTTTAGTTGGGATTGGTCGCGAAATCCTTATACTGCTGAAGTGCATTTTAGCTTTAGTTTTTTTAGTGGTAGTTAGGATTGTCTACATTGTAGCGAGACTTTCATAAATTAATACCTTGTGTGGTGGCATGCATGTCGTATAATTAACTAATTATGTTCTAGGTTTTAATATGGTATGTATGTCATGTAATGCAGATGAGCCGGCATTGGATGTACAATGCTGATCGCCGCTCCCAAGAGTTCATTGAGGGCGTGCATTCTTTCTTACGTGTGGCCGAGGCAAACAAACGCGATGGTTTCATGTGCTGCCCATGTGCCATATGTAAGAATTTGAAGGAATATGCTAGCTCAAAGAGTCTTCATTCACACTTGTTGAAGTCGGGTTTCATGCTAAACTATATTTGCTGGATGAAGCACGCAGAAACCGGGGTTGTAATGGAAGAAGGTGAAGAAGAACAATGGGACGATGGTGACATTATTGCCGAATATGGTGCCTTCAATGATACTGCAATGGGGGAAGCTGAAGAAGAGGTAGGGCAGAAGATGAGCCTGCTGATGATCTTGGTCAGGCCATTCGTGACGTACAAAGAGAATGCGAAAGTGAAAAGGAGAAGATCAAGTTTGAGCGCATGCTAGAGGGTCACAAGAAATTGCTATACCCAACTTATGATGCGGGGCAGAAAAAGTTGGGTACCACACTGGAATTGCTGCAATGGAAGGTAAAGAATGGTGTATCTGACAAGGGATTTGGGGAGTTACTAAAAATCCAAAAGAAGATGCTTCCGAAGGATAACGAATTACCCGCCACTACGTACGAAGCAAAATAGGTAGTCTGCCCTTTGGGATTAGAAATTCAGAAGATACATGCATGTCCTAATGACTGCATCCTCTACCATGGCGAGGAGTACGAGAAGTTAGATGCATGCCCGGTATGTCATGCATCGTGGTATAAGATCAGGCGAGATGACCCTGGTGATGTTGAGGGCGAACGTCCCAGGAAGCAAATCCCTGCCAAGATTATGTGGTATGCTCCTATAATACCACGCTTGAAACATCTGTTCAGAAATAAAGACCATGCAAAGTTGTTGCGATGGTATAAAGAAGACTGTAAGGTAGACAATATGTTGAGACACCCTGCTGATGGGTCCCAGTGGAGAGCAATCGATAGAGAATTCCCGGAGTTTGCAAATGACGCAAGAAACTTAAGGTTTTCTTTAAGTACGGATGGTATGAATCCTTTCGGGAAGCAGAGCAGTAGTTATAGCACTTGGCCTGTTACTCTATGTATCTACAACCTTCCTCTGTAGTTATGCATGAAGCGTAAGTTTATTATGATGCCAGTGCTCATCCAAGGCCCAAGGCAACCTGGCAACGACATCGATGTGTACCTGAGGCCACTAGTTGAAGAACTTCTACTTTTGTGGAACAGACCAGGTGTACGTATGTGGGATGAGCACAAACAGGAGCACTTTGACCTGCGAGCATTGTTGTTTGTAACAATCAATGATCGGCCTGCTCTAAGTAATCTTTTAGGACAATCAAACAAGGGATATAATGCATGCATGCACTGTTTCGATGACATTAAAGGTATATTCTTGAAAAAATGTCGAAAGGTCATGTACCTTGGCCATCGTCGATTTCTTCCTACGAATCACCCCCTAAGAAAGAAAGGCAAGCATTTTAAAGGTAAGGCAGACCACCAAACCAAGCCGGGCAACCAAACTGGTGAGGATGTACTCAATATGGTCAAGGATGTGAAAGTAGTATTTGGAAAGGAACATGGCAGCGAACCTGTTCCGAACGACACCGACGGTCATGCACCCATGTGGAAGAAGAAGTCCATATTTTGGGAGCTACCCTATTGGCAAGTCCTAGAGGTCCGTAGCGCGATCGACGTGATGCACCTGACGAAGAATCTTTGTGTGAACCTGCTAGGTTTCATGGGTGTGTATGGGAAGCCTAAGGACACACTTGAAGCACGACAGGACCTACGGTGTTTGAAAGAACGAGACAACCTGCATCCAGAGAAGACAGATGATGGACGCCATTACTTAAGTCCTACCAGCTACACTCTTAGCAAAGAAGAGAAGGAAAGCATGTTTGAATGCCTAGCAAGCATCAAGGTACCATCTGGATTCTCCTTGAATATAAAGGGTATAATAAATGTGCCAGAGAAGAAATTCCTAAACTTAAAGTCCCATGACTACCACGTGCTTATGACGCAATTGCTTCCAATTGCATTAAGAGGAATTCTACCTCCAAATGTATGTCTAGCCACCGTAAAGCTATGTGCATTCTTCAATGCAATTTCTCAGAAGGCAATCGATCTAATGGATCTAGCTAAACTACAGAATGATGTGGTTCAATGTCTTGTCAGCTTTGAGTTGGTGTTCCCTCCTTCCTTCTTTAATATCATGACACACCTCCTAGTTCACATGGTCAAGGAGATTAGCATTCTCAGTCCTGTGTTCCTACAC